CTTAGCTATCTTCAAGAATCGGCTAAAAACGCATCTCTTCCATCTTTATTTGAGCCTCTAACTCTAGCACTCTCTATTCTAAATATTTTCTTAAAAAAAAAAAAAAAAAACACGTCCCTTTTAGACTTGCACTCTATTCATTTGCTGCTTCTTTTCTGTAAAAAACAAACAAATACTTGCTTTCTAATCTTTTTGTATTCTATCTGTTTTCTTTTCATTTATTATACAATTAACAAAAGCAAAAAGACCTCTAACACTAGCTTGCGCTATTATTTTTCTATTCTATCGGTTTTCTTTTTATTATATTATTTTAAAAAACCTTGCTACGTGTACTGCGTTAAGCTAACTGAGACTTTTTATAGCACTTGTATATCATTGCTCTTTTGTTGATTTTGATTGCTTCCATTGTCCTCATTTGTAAGTCGCTTTGGATAAAAGCATCTGCTAAATGACTAAATGTAAATGTAAAAAGTTGCATTTGGTGGTCAATTTGTGTGTAAATGTATATTTCTGACTAACTTTTGATGTTAATTCTAGCGAGAAATCATTATTATAGTAATTAAATATTACGTTTAGTTATCACCAAAACTCGTTTTATTTTGTTCTATTATTAAACCGTTATGCTGCCTCAAAAGCCTGTCCGAAATCAGTCCGAAGTTTCATGAGGTGCCTTCATGTGACACACACGGGACAAAAAAGCTGCACAATGTTATTGTAACGTGGAGGCGTGACAACAGGGTTGGTGGATCCAAATGCAGGCTTTATTCAAAAGAGTGGTCAAAACGGGCAGGGTCGAAAACCAACAAACAGGTATAAACCAAGGCAGAGGCAAAAGAGTAATCCACAAAGCAGGCAAAGGTCAGGGAAGGTAGTGATGTGACATTTGAGCCGAGGCATCGGAACTTGTTTCGAGAATAAAGGGGCGTGCCAGATGAAGCCTCGATTCGAAGCTTGTGTTGTTAACATAGAAATCACGTGATCAATGACAAACGAAGCTTTACTTTTTGTCCAGTCACATGCGCGATTCACTTTGCGTGTCGGAATGTTCGAATCCCCAGATCTTACTTTACGAGTAAGTTTTAATTCTGACTTATTCTGTTACTTTTAGATACCCATTCATACAAGTAATATGAAGAATACAAATTATTTCAGGAAAATTAAATATTTGTCAAATGCAATTCATATGTGTACATTATTCTTCTATTACATCATATTGATATTCGTACTGGTATTAAATTGCACAGTTTAATGGGTAAATAATAATTATTGAATTCAATATATTTATCAGAGACACACTGTTAGGCTTTTATTTGTGCCCGTAACTTGAATCGATCTGTGGAATATGTGGTAGATGCCTCGTCCTACGGAGCGTCTTTCACAGGCTTGTGGCTGCTATATTTTTATTAACCACCAGATGGCGCTGTTTTCGAGACACTCGAAGCTTTGAATCTTTTCGCGAAACAGTCAGAAGAAAGCCTCAGTGCTTCACGAGGCTTCATTTGCCCATCACTAAGGGAAGGCAACAAACAATCATAAACAAGGAAACAGTCCAGGGTCAGAAACACTAAAGCAAGGCAAGGCAAGGCGGAACTAGGAAACACTGAAAACCACAAAGACGTTACTGGCTATCAATACTCAGCGATGTGTGTGTGGATGAGTGCAACCTTTATAGTGTGAGATTGATAAAGTAATGAGACACAGGTGAAGGCAATCAGTGATGATGAGTCCGGCAAAGGATTATGGGAAATGTAGTTTGTGAGACTGTGACAAGAGTCAGGGGTGGAGTGCCCTCTGGTGGAGCTCATGGGCACTCCAGCTGATGATCGTGACAGTTATACACACAAATACAAGACCCCATCATGCTAACACACGTGATACAAAATAATGCAATACACATTAATTTAACAACATAAGAGTGTAACATGACCCCTAATGTATATAACTGATAAGAAAAAGAAAAAAAAACTTAGATGAAACATTTATTTGATAATAATGAAAAAACAGCAAATGTAAGTGTCACACAGGCAATTCTGGGAATGTCAATTTACATTTTTCATTGTCAATTATAAGATGAAGTGTTCTTTTTACTTCCAAAAACTGTACATTCAACAGTATTTTAATGTAAAATTATATTAAATGTTCCACTAGATATGTTTTTTTTTCTCACCTTATACAGTAAGGGAACATCATATTAACCAGTCAGCAGGTTTTTGCCATTTTTACAGTCTTTTACCATTAAAATTATAATCATTTTTCACAGTGCAGGGAATGCATGATAATGTATACCTTGAATACAATATAAGTTGATTTGGAGAAAAGTGTCTGTGCATTATTTAATTTTTGGGTGAACTATCCCTTTAATAGGCCTGGTCCCTCGAACTGTTGTGTTAACAGTCAATAGCCATTAACATAAACTGTTCTTTTACTGAGGGCAAAGTGAATAGGCTTGTATGAGATGAGCAAAATCTGCGCAGAACCGATCACCGGTGATCACTGCGAGATGCATGCCAGTTAGAAAAGTGTCCGAGTTACGTCTGACTTGCTCTGATGTCATGCTGACGTGTGCCAAAAAACTCTCGCGACGGCGAGGCGGCTGTGTCAGATTGTGCAGTCGAGCGCAGTTGCTCTCTACCGACTGTGCTGGTCAAAAGCATGATGGGAAATGACTGACTGAGGACACAGCTTAATGTTAATTGGTTCAGACAACCGTGATGCTGCGTTCTTTTCTAAAATATTTTATTTTTTTTATATGATTTCATGTGATTATGTATTTAAAGGGGTCATATGATGCTTTTTTAAAGATCATTATTTTGTGTATTTGGTGTAACAGAATATGTTGATCTTGTTCATCATATTTATTTTCATATAAAAGCAACAGAACTGAAATTATATCGTGTTTATTAGCAACACAGCATGTAAGTGAGAATAACGCGATATCTGCCTTTGATCTCGTTGGTATCTGTTCCTTTCGAGAGGTCAGAACTGTCCGTCTTGACTGCTCTTATTTCACTCCTCCCTTCACTGCATCTCAAACAAGCCTAATGTATTGCAGTTTACATCCATTTAAGCTTTACAAACATAGGTATGAATGGATTTGGATAGATCTTTGTGGCCTTTCTTTGTTTCGACTTCTGCTGCTGCATCCTCAGGAATTTTTATGGCAGTTCTTTCCTAAACCTTAGGATTGGGTTTGGTGGTTAGGGTCAACCTGTAGTCCAATGAGAAGACCTCTCTTAGGTAGTCATGGGTGCAGAAGGTCTCCCTTCCTGTCCTGCTAGAGGTGTCTGGCAGTTGTCTTGGCATCTTATCTGATGTTTCTGAACATTTGTTTATGTTCCTCCACCAAGGTCCAATCACAGTGTGGCACATCTCCCTCCACACCGGCAGTTAGTGAGGGGCCCTGCCATAAACTGGTCCCTGAAATGCCATCTCGACTGTTTTTTTTTCTTCTGTATTTTATTCTTTATTGTCTTTTTTTTTTTTCAAAACACTGTTTGCAGTGGACTGAGTCATCATCTCTGACTAAATTCATAACTGCACACTAATTGGTGTCAGTCGTTCATGTCAGTTATAAAATAATCATCTAATGTCAACATATTTAATGAATTTAAGTAGAGTTATAGAATGTTAAAGGTGGCCCACTTTTCATGAAAACTACTGGCACATTTTATCTAGCCAAAGTAATGTCTATACATATTACAAGAAAATTTAATTTTTAACATTTTAATCTATTTTACCTGCAGTATAAAATAAAACAGGTCATGTCACAATATTTGTTTACATTTATTGAACAACTTTACAATATAGAAATGTATTAAATCACAATGTCAAAGGGCTTACTACCTTTCTTGATGAGGGAGTTCTCCTTTGAGGTTTGGCCACAATCACCAGTGTCAAACTGCTTCAGCAGAACTTATTTTATCATTTGAAAAAACGGTGTTCCTTTAATTCAAGACCATTTATTGTATATGACAATGTACATTACAATCAAGCATAAATGGCCCAATTTACCTGAATTCACCCTACATACTTGGAACTCCTGGGATCCGTAATATATCCTTGTCTGTTACACAGCAGAAATTCTTTCAGTGTGATGCGCAACACACGACTGCGCCTGCTGTAGACACAGGATGTTTGAACATTACTTGGTTAGAGTATGTATTATCAGTTGGCACTAAATAGAGTCTTGCACACAGTAGCCATAAGGGTAACCATAGCAATAGGCTGCTTGATTGTTTTCTTTCAGGAATCAGGATCTATATCATGTGGTACAATGACATAACTTGTTGTCGATATTTATCAGTTTATTTTAAATGTACATGTCACAAGTATATTAAGTATCAAAACTTCATTTTTTTTTTTTTTTGGAAAAGTATTTGAGAGTTAATGTGACAATGTCGGGGCAGCAAAAACTATTGTGGCATTTATACAAAGCTTAACATACCACAAATTAAAAATTAACTATAGAAAATCCCTTTAAAAAGCTAGACCTTCCCTCAAAGTCATTTTATAACTCACACTCTAACAAAATGATTATGAACTGGTGTTCTAGTTTGATATCACTGAAATATTTTGATTCAGAGAGATCTGAAAGATATGTAATATTACCAATGTATGTAATAATGGTGTTATATAATACATAAACTCATTCTTTCACTATTGTGAGTTTTACAGGCCTGTTGGTTTGTGGTGTGACAGCAATTAATTTTAAGTGAACCAAGCAAGATTTTCAAGCCAAACATTGTCAGTCAGACATGTGATGCTCAAATATCATTATTGATTTAAACAAACTCTGTTGGGTAATTAAAACATTTAGCTCAGTTTTTAGAAGAAACTATGATTTGAATTTGATCAGTTTTAAATTTGAAGGATACTTTAAACATTGAGTATTTAACTTAATAATTAACCATATATTGTTTTATGATGAATAGATACAGTATTATTCATACACCAGACACCCTCCTGTTTTTCATACCACTGTTAAATTCATTTTTCATGTTTCATGTTTCTTCCCCTTTCAGTCCCTTTTCTGGCTGTTCTTTGGACTCCTCCACTTGTGTTTGTGCATTCTGCCTTCCTCTCATGTAAGCATTCACACTCTCCAGTAAATCAATGGAGTGATTGATCAGAAGAGCGAGCCAAGCCAGGCCAAAGAATATCCAGGCTGCCATCAGACAGCTGTACCACTCTGGGTAGTTTATCGCTGGGTTATGATCTGGCAGGAAAAACAATGATGTAAAGATTAGGGTTGGGATGATATAATTGGAATCATATCGGATTTAAAATTTGAACTGTAATGTTAAGATGACGAATTTACTTAATATCAGTTCATTGAAATGCAACACAGTCACAACAGAGGAATTTGATTGATCCAACACAAGTTTTGCAGGAAAACAAATCATGACTACAACAATTTTGACTGAATATGCCTATTTACTGTAATTTGCACCCTCATTATACCATCTCTATTTTGAATATTTTCTGGGTGTTTCACCATATCTAATGAAAATTAAGGTTTACTTAAATTTAATGTGTTAAATATATTATTAAATGCTATGCATACAACAGTAATATGAATTTATTTCTGTTGGCTTAAATACGTTTTAAATTCGAAGTATAATTCTTCAACTTATTTGTTACCTCAATTCAAAATTCAAATTCAGGAAAATTCAAATTAAATTTTGAATGACACACTACCCAAACTGTGATGTCACTTCCTGACTAGAGCTACAAGAATAATTACAAAATGTAAATAACTTTCAGAGGATTAACAGTAAAACAAAGAAGGCTTTATATAATAATATTAATAATAATAAATATCTATATTGTCCATATCTAATAACAATGCATCATAACACATAAGCTCATAATTTATTTGTTATATAGTTAAGGTACATGCTGACAATTAAAAATATTGAAGTATGAATGTCATTTTTGTATGTGTAGTCTCCTACCTGCGACATAATCTCCGAATCCAATAGTGCTGAGTGATATGAAGCAGTAATAAATGGCTTCAGCGTAACTCCATCCCTCATACTCTTTAAAAAGCAGCATAGGAACCACAAAGTACAGGAATGCTGAGCTCACAAAGGATATACTGTGAATGGATATTCGTACACATTTCTGTGGGAAGGAGCAGAATCATGGGTACAGTGTGTTTGCACGTAAAGGTCAAGCATGTTCATTTCTAATTGTACTGCTTATCACAGACAAATATTTATGTACTTGTTTGTTTGTTTAGACTTAAAACCCAGCACGTCATCTTTAGTGCTGACTGTAAAAGAAAAAGTTAAATTCTCACCCCTCTATCAATTTTTTTCTCCAAAAAATTGCAAAAATTTCTCTCAATGGCCAGCATGTATTTTCCAACTCTATTTAAGATCACTACGTTCAAGGGAATGCCAAAAAGTGCAAACAACACACAGAAGATTTGACCAGCTGTCGTCAGTGGAATTATATTCCCATAGCCTGTAAAAAGATGAAAACTTTAAATGATCTTAGATTTAAATAATGATAGATGCCACACAACAAACTGGATTGTCAAATTCATTGTGTTAAGTGTCCCATTCCTCACCAATAGTTGTGACCACAGTTGCCGCAAACACAGATGAGCTGGTAAATTTCCAGAAGCCATCTGCGGTGTCATTGCTGTCTGGACTCAAGCCACTCAGGGAAGCAGCTTTTATCATCTTTAAAACAGTAATGGCAAGCAATGAGTACTTATTTGTAATACATGAACTGACAATAAAAAACACTAACTGAGAGTATGATTATGCATATGTAAATGACGTATAACCCTGTTCTGTTATAACAAAACTATTACATTCTCAACTTTAATTATTATTATTATTATTATCTACCTAAGCAGAAACCATTCTTTTTCACAAAAAGGCTATTTCATTGTACAGAAAGAGCTAAATAATCATGTAAATAATCTCAACAATAGACCAACAAAGATAATTTTATATAGAAGAGATTTCCAAATTTCCAACAAAAGGAAATTCAATTATAAACTGTCGGTCTTGTTTAACAAACACAAACTGGTTTTGGTGTCTTGATTGGTGGTCTTGATTATTTTCTGCACAGATTTTCATTTCAAAGATTTTTTTGACCAAAAGCACTAATTATTTTAAATGAATGAAAATGCATGTATACATTTGCACTGAAACAGTTAATATATATATATAGATATAGATATAGATATGTGTGTGTAAAAAGTTGTTAAAAAAGTTGTTCAAGGTGTTGTTAAATGTGAAAAAAATTAATTTAAGCAAAATCTACTCTCCAATCATACCTGTGCTAGTTCTCGGAGACCATTCTGACCCACACATGGGTACTTCTCAAGTAGTTTCATTCTTTTCTCCTTCAGAAGATCAATCTGTTGCAACACATACCATCCTTCTAGTTTCCAGAAGATCAGCCCTCCAACAAGGACATAGGCTACATAAATAACTCCAAGGAACAGGATAGAAGGAGTTACACTGAAAAACTGGCATAACTTTCCCGAAAACACGGGGTGCATGGTTCCTTTGGTCGCCTGGCTCACCTGTCTGCCAATGCAGCTATAGGATGGTGCTACTGGGTGTGGATTTACTCTGTTTATGTGACAGGCAAATCACCCCCTTGTGTAATGAATGCCAGTCAGACCTTATGACCTGGCATGCAAATGTTGATTGAAAGAGAGCAGAAGACAGTGAGTGAGGAATTAAAGAGGGAGATTGAAGTGGTTAGAAGCTACAGCCCATACTCTCTGCCAATGGTTTAATGTTCTTGTATCAAAACTTAGCTTCTTTGGTTGTTTACATAAATCGATTATTTCAAAGAGTACCTAAGCACACACCAAAAACAGGAAAGTCATCTGGTCATCTGTATGTCTCGCCATAAATTCATCAAAGTATTATGTTTACTTTAGACCTGTCTGATCTAGAGCCTTGCCAATGGCAACCATAAGAACACACACTTACACATACGTGCTAATACATGAAGCCTCAACATTTACTATTTTCAAATCTCTGAACCACTGCACTCGAGCTCAGTTATGTAGGTATGAATAAATAAAGAAATTGATATAGTTTGTGTTATGTCATTTGAATATGTATTTGAATATGGTTTAGGTTAAAAAACAGATACAAGAATAAACAAGATATGTGCACAAAATTGATCTGTGTTAGGATAAACAGGTGAAATGTGTTTTAATATCAAATAAAAAAAAAAAAACTCTCAAAACCCATATTCATAAAGTTTAATTTAAAGGGGTCATATGACGTTGCTAAAAAGAACATTATTTTGTGTATTTGGTGTAATGAAATGTGTTTATGTGGTTTAAAGGGGTCATATGATACGATTTAAATTTTTCCTTTCTCTTTGGAGTGTTACAAGCTCTTGGTCCATAAAGAAAATCTGTAAAGTTGCAAAGACTAAAGTCTCAAATCCAAAGAGATATTCTTTATAAAAGTTAAGAGTCAACCACCCTCCTTAAACGGCTCATTCTAACACACCCCCACATATCTACGTCACGATGTGGGAAGATTTGCATAACGCCGTCCAAATGTTCATGCAAAGAAAGAAGGCGTAACTTTTATTCTCGCTGTAGTATTGTTGTTGCCACCGCTGCCATGTCGTGGAGACGCTGTGAGTTTCGTTGTGAAAGCGAAACTACTTTGTTTGGCCTTCCAAAAGAGGACGATATCCGCTTCATCATGCCTAGAGCTGATCCGTGCTGGTCGCTGAGGGAATACAACAGTATGGTAAGGGGCGTAACATTTCCGTCTCACGCTTGAGGTATTCGGCCAATCACAACGCACTGGATAATTCTTTAAATATGAAAACATACTTACAGGCTGTGAGTCAGAACAGCTGGCATTGTAGGCTACTCTCCCAGGTTCAGGAAGCAATCCTCCGTAAAATGCGCTGCACACATCTGAATATATTTGGGTTAAACTGTTCTGGAACAGTGTTGTAAATACAACTTAACCACTGATTTCTAGTTGTGTCCTCTTTTGGAAGACCAAACAAAGTATTTTTGCTTTCGCAATGAAACACACAGTGTCTCCACGACATGGCTGCGGCGGCAACAATACTACAGCGAGAATCAAAGTTACGCCTTCTTTCTTTGCATGAACATTTGGGCGCCGTTATGCAAATCTTCCCACATAGTGACGTAGACATGTGGGGGCGTGTTTAAACGAGGCATTTTAGGAGGGCGTTGACGAGTCTTAACTTTTATAAAGATTATCTCTTTGGGTTTGAGACTTTAGTTTTTGCAACTTTAGGGATCTTATCTATTCACGAACAGCTTGTAACACTCCAAAGAGAAAGGAAAACTTGAAATCGCATCATATGACCCTTTAACGTCTAACATGAGCTTTACCCTATGCTTTAAAAAACACACACACTCAGCAATACCTTTTGGACCACTGTAAATCAGATTCAGTCAAATATCCATTACTCTGAAAATTAATTAAATATTGAAAAATCTTCTTGCAACAGATTGTTTCCCATGGATATTACAGGTAATATATTAGGACTGTATCATTAATTGTGCACAAAATGGTTGTCCATGGGTTATTAAAGTAATGGCAAATGAATTCAACTAGATAATTAGATTATTTACAGAGGTTTCTTTCTAATCGTCATCAGCTATGTTGCTGAATCCATCAGCTAAGTATTCCTAAAATAAAATGTGTCATTGAGAACATTCTGTACAGCAATTGAAATGCTCCATAGTATGAAGAGAAATATGGAATGATTCCTCATTGGTCTGGTAGAATCTTAGTGGATGTTTGATACCATGCGCTGTTTGAGTAGAACATTGCTTCCTGTGATATCAACCATCCAATAATACATCATGCAATAAAGTGAGCCATAGTGGTTGATGTTTTGCCTGTAAAGAAGATATTTCAAGCATAAAATGTCTTTATGACACCAAGGCTCTAAAATAAATAAATAAATAAATGAATAAATAATAAAATAATGGAGCAGTTTTGAGAGTCAAGGGTCTGCTACCATTAATGTAATTTGAAAAATGTTTGATATGTGTGACTTACTGCCTGTATATACTGAATTATTTTTATATTTTACAATTAAGATGTCCTAATATAATCAATGTTAAGCTTAATAAAACTGTTTTATTAATTTGTCTAAAACTTAGAAATGAACAGAACAGCTGGTTCTGTTCCCAGATTTTACATTACAATGTCTTAAACTTTAAATTGAGATTGAGCAACCTTATAAATTACCATGTTATTGTACACAATCATCATATAATTTTATAAACATTATATGTATTGACACGTGATCTGTACTGTACATTGCTGGAATATTCCAGAATATAGGAAGCAAAGAAAGGCCACTTTACGCCTGTTCAATCTGATGAAAGAAAGTGCTGCTCCCTTATGCAAATTACTGCTCAGAACCTCATTGCTCAAACAAACCTATTCATAGTCATGCAAAATAGTGCATCATAAAACAAAAATGACCAGATCTCAGTCTTAAGATTTTTGAGCAGAGAAATGTCAAATGGTTGCTATTAACAAATTAAAGACTACAATTTGGAATATCTAAAATAGATTAGCATTTATTGTATATTGCATCTATGAAATATAATTCTTTATAAAATGTAAATACTGGTGTTTATAGAAGACGTATGATTGTTCACTGTTAAAGAAGTTCTTGAAAAAATATTTTAACTCCACTTGCATTCTCCCAAAAGAGGCTCTAAGCAGAAAAGACCAATTTACCATTGATTGAAAAAATTATCTTTTTACACCTCAAAAAAAAAAAAAACTACAGGCATCTAATGTGAATGACTCAAAGTCAGGTGTAGTTCAACATGTCATAAAACAGCGAAATAAATAGCGAAATGACCAAAAAGATTTTACCAACAGCTTTATAACGGACCAAATAACATAAAACAACAAGAAACTGACATTATTTTACAGAAGAACTTGTATATATACAAGACAATAAACAATAGTGTCAACAAACAAACAATCAAACAAAGGATATGATTTCACCACTACGTGAATAAGATTATATTGGGTTAGGCAGGGAGACAGAGCTTTGATCAGGTTAACACCTTATGATAGCTTGTAAAAACTAAACATTTGTTCAAGTGCCTTTACCAATGATTTATTTGGTTGCTATGCAACTACATTACCCTTAAATTGATCTCCTCATTTCAGCAAGTTTTCCACTAAAAGGTAACAGAACAGATCAATAACCAGCCAGGTTGTAAATGGACATATGTAATATAAATTGATGCTGTTATATTTGTCAGTGTGCCCCGCTCCTTCTGAGTCAGTGACATGAGGGTTTTGACATGTTTAAGAGTCATTAAGGTGTCCTTTAATGATCTACCTGGCCCAGAGTTTTGCAGAAATGTGTGACTTTTCATTGTTTGTCCTCCTCTGTTCTTATTTATAACTGTTCTTATTTTGCCACTCCTGAAACAAAGAGACATTATAATGATCAAATCAGGTTAGAAACATTAAGGCCATCTATAATACAAAGTGCACTGTAGAGAAGGCAAACATCACATAACTTTGAAAGTATGATGAAATGATGATTTCTCATGATTTGATGTGTCAATTTTAAATCGATTTATTTACCAGGTTTATCTGAGAAGTCATTTGGAAACCTTTTAGACACAGTAGAAAATTAAAAGAGTTGCCTCTGTCTTATATGATAACATCTAAATCAATAAAAAATGTATACATTTAATTATTTGATTAAATATAATATGACTTTTATTTAAAACATCTTTGTGTGGTATCTGTTGTGGTATCTATTTTATTTAGACTTTCTTAGATAACTGTCATTGTTGCATCAACAGCCTTGCTGTGAGAGATTTGCTCCTGTCTCACTCCAATGACCTCACCTACCACTGCCAATGAAATCCCACCACCATTGATAAAACACCATGACAGCTTTTACTGATCTTTGTACATTTGCTTTTACCTTTACTGTTATCAAAATAATTTGTGTTTTATGTACTTTGTTTATTTGCCTTTGCCATCAAAAAGTGATCAAAACACTTCACATTGGGGACACCTGCTGGTCAAACATATGTAAATGCAATGGCAGCAATGTCCTTCAGGTGACGGAGAGAAAATATGGTAACATTTTATTTTAAGGTCCAATTCACACTATTAACTAACGTATAGCTATGAATTATGCCTCAATAAGCTCCTAATTTGCTGCTTATTAATAGTTAATAAGGTAGTTGTTAAGTTTAGGTATGGGATAGGGTCAAGGGAGCTAAAATATGGTCATGCAGAATAAGGCATTAATATGTGCTTTATAAGTGCTAATAAACAGCCAGTATACTAGAAATACGCATACTAATAAACAACTAGGTAATAGTGAGATTTGGTCCCTAAAGTGTAACCTAAAATATAGTAAAGAGTGTTCATCTTCATGTAAGCACAGTCATATGTGATGATGTACAATATATCAGTAACCTCCATATGCCCCAAAGTAATATCATATCATTAGATGATATCACTATGAAACAGAGATTTA